ACTCACACAAGGTAGACTGGTACTCACACAACGTAGACTGGTACTCACACAAGGTAGACTGGTACTCACACAAGGTAGACTGGTACCCACACAAGGTAGACTGGTACTCACACAAGGTAGACTGGTACTCACACGGGGTACTCGGCAGCGTCGGGGTACTTGAGTTTGTCGTGCTCGATCCACTCGTCGAGCAGCGACTTGCCGGCATCGCGTACCCCGGGCACCTGAAAGGGGGGGTACGTTTGGAGGTAAGTTGGGGGTACGTAAGGGGGTATGGTAAAGGAGTGTGTTTGAGGGGGGTAAGTTGAGTGGATACTTTAGAGGGCCACGTTGGAGGGGGGATACGTTGAAAAGGGGTACGTAAGAGGAATACTTTAGGATGGGTGCGTCAGAAAGTACGTTTTATTTAGGTCATACGTTAAACCTACACGCTACTATTGATTTGTTTTGTTATGAGGGTACACATTAAGTGTACGTTAAGAAGGTATGCAATAAGGATACGTTAAGAAGGTACGTAATGAGTATACCTTAAGAAGGTACGTAATGAGTATACCTTAAGAAGGTACGCAATTAAGATACGTTAAGAGGGTACGTAACGAAGATACGTTAAGAAGGTACGTAACGAAGATACGTTAAGAAGGTACGTAATGAGTATACGTTAAGAAGGTACGTAATGAGTATACCTTAAGAAGGTACGTTATGAAGATACGTTAAGAGGGTACGTAATGAAGATACGTTCATAGGGTACGCTGATAGTGTTCGATACTGACCAACATAACCACGCCATCTCTCTCAGCTGTTACATTGATTGCGTATGCCACCTTAAGTGACATCAGTCAGTCAGTCATATAGTCAGTCACCGCCCAGCCTCTCTAGCAATACGTTGCGGCCTGGAGCTAAGGCCTTGCTTACAGTCACCCGCTTTGTCACGCGATCCGTAATATAATTATGACGGTCAGTCCACATTGACCGTCTAAGACCACTTCAACGAACTCTGTCCACTAGAATTTTACATCCTGTTTCAGCAAATCCGTCAAAGGAGCTGCGACTTTTGCAAAGTTGTTTATGAACCTTCTATAATAATTTATTTAACACACCAAAAAAGCGGTAAACTTCGTTAGCGTCTTTTGGAACTGAATAGTTCTTCATTGATTCCGTCTTTATGTCATCGATTTTAACACCGTGCGCGGAGACTATGTGGCCCAAGAATTTGCTCTTTTATTTGAAGAATTCGCACTTTTCTAACTTAATCTTCAAGCCTGCATCGCGAATTTTGTGCAGTACTGCTGCAATGTCGCTTAGATGCTTATATTTTGTTTTAGAGAAAATGATGACGTCGTCGAGATAGACGAGAGCTGAAACTCCGAGCAAGGTATTAAATGTAGCATTTACCGGACTTTGGAACACACTAACGACTAGTCCAAATGGAAGTTTATAAATGTAAAATGGCACATAGGCGTTGTGAACGCGGTTTTCGCAGAGCTCTCATCTGTTAGTGGTAGTTGCCAGAACGCTTGCGATTTTCTGGCAGCGTCGTTTTCGTCGTAGTCGTGCAGGAGGTCACTGAGTCCAGAGAACCCGGCGGCCGCGTACGCATCCCATCGTGGTGGCGAGAACACAGAGTGTCTGCAAGAGGTAAAAAAGTAGCGTCTTAGAACGCAAATCACGATCGGGAAAAAAATACTCATGGTTTAAATAACCCTATTATAAAAGTTAAGTATAAGAAATTGTTTAAAATGATAAAAAATGCATCGTTCCTCTGTTGTAGTCCTATAACCAGTCGGTTAGGTTGTAGTTTTCTCTTCTCGTCTTGTTGTACTGGTTCATTTAGAGAAAACGATACGAGACTTCGAGTAATCAAGAATTAGGAGATTTCAATGAGGATTATAAAGTATTATTGGTATTACACAAGAGACACAGTCCATAGTGCACCTGTAGAGGGGACGGTCCGGCAGTCCTCTGGGCAGGACGAAGGTTCGCTCCAGGGCCATCAGCTGCTCGTTGACAAACCGCACCCGCATAGCTCTACAAGAGGGGATGGTCTGGGGTAACTAAGACAGAGTTACTACAAGACGCTGGTCGGGAGTAACTGAGATATTTCGCAAAGAAAATAAAGAAAATAGCCGAACAAATAGCCAAGATCAAGTGCGCGTTGGTTGCGTGTGTAAGCTGCCACTAAGCTCGTGTGTGTTGCTCGGTTTTGTCGCGTTTGTGGTTTGCTTTGCGGCAATATGGCATCGCGCTCCTCGATACTCGCGCGCGGTGTACATGTTGAATACTTGAAGTTGGTCGTAAGTTGACAAGTTGTTTAGCTATTGTGTAAAATTCTCTTCTTAACTGAGTGGGGTCAAAATAAGTTACAACAACAGGACTAATTTTCCTAGTTACGTCGGTCGTAACTTCACCAATTTTGATTTGTTACATTGGTCGTAATTTTTGCTATCAGTTAGGTTAGTCGGACCAGGATTTAATATATTTTAGTTGCAGTGGTCGTAACTAGAGAAATTTGATATTAGTTACGCTGGTTGTAACTAGACAAATTCACCTAAAATACGTTAGTCGTAACTGGTGCAATTCACCCTAAATTCGGCCCAATTTACCCCAGACACGTTGTTCGTAACTTACGACATACGACGCTGCTCCTTAAGCGACTCTTCAAAGCGCTGCGTAGCTACGACGAGCTCGTCCACGGCTGCCGTGAGATACTCTGGAATACGATGTGTTCAATTAACTTAAAATAATGTAACAACATAAATATTGAACAAAATGGAAGCATAGTACAAACCATCAATGATCCAAAAAATATACAAATAAAATTTTTTCTTTATTTAAGATTCTCAAAAGGGCCTCAGCTCAGCGTACGGTGATAATAAGAAGAGCTTTATAGATTTACACGCGTGAAGTTGACATTATATTTATAATTAACGGATATTATATTTATATCGTTATAATTTGAGAGCATTGACAGGATGAACTTCGCTTTACAGAGATTGTGCAGAGCAAATAATGTTTAAAATAATATATAAAAAAGGACGAAGCTCACAGTACATTATGTAGCGGTACTCATGTGTGGTAGATTAGATGTACTGGTAGACTCGCTGTACTGGTAGACCCACTGTACTGGTAGACACACAGTACTGGTAGACTCACTGCACTGGCAGACCCACTGTACTGGTAGACTCACCACTGTACTGGTAGACTCACTGTACTGGTAGACCCACTGTACTGGTAGACTCACTGTACTGGTAGACTCACTGTACTGGTAGACTCACTGTACTGGTAGACTCACTGTACCGGTAGACTCACTGTACTGGTAGACTCGACTCACTGTACTGGTAGACTCACTGTACTGGTAGACTCCCTGTACTGGTAGACTCCCTGTACTGGTAGACTCACTGTACTGGTAGACACACTGTACTGGTAGACTCGCTGTACTGGTAGACTCACTGTACAGGTAGACCCACTGTACTGGTAGACTCACTGCAGTGGTAGACTCACTGTACTGGTAGACTCACTGTACAGGTAGACCCACTGTACTGGTAGACTCACTGTACTAGTAGACTCACTGTACTGGTAGACCCACTGTACTGGTAGACTCACTGTACAGGTAGACTCACTGTACTGGTAGACCCACTGTACTGGTAGACTCACTNTGTATAACACGGAAGCCCGGGTCCGTGAGATTGGCCAGCATGTGGTACGTATCGTACCCCGTATGGTACGTGGGGTACCTCCCGGAGTGCTCCGCCTGGTCAATTAATGAATTAGCATCGCGAGTTCAATAAAACGAGTAACAAATCGGCTTATTTAGAAATTTTTCTGTCAATTAACCTTATAAAGATAATTGTTAATGTAAAATTAAGTCATAGACGCATGGTTAAATAGCCCAAAACCCCCACTATTAATAGCCAAAACCCACAAAACGAGATTACTAAGAGGAAAAATGTAATTTCGTATATTTTAACACCCTAATTATGTACGGTGCGTATATACTTGTGAACCCTGGCCGATGGCCTACGTTAAATCATGGCCAGTCTCAATATCTATATTTTTGACAATTTTGTAATACTTTTGAGCGCTGGTAGTATAACAAAATAATATTATTCTGTAATTCGTATAGTTCGTGGTAAGTGCAAAATTCTCTCGCGTAACTCGCTGGCAACATCGCCAAAGCTCGAGAACCAGAAGAGGTCCTATTTTAAAGAAGGAGCACTAGCAGTCGGTTGTCAAGTTTCCTTGTGTGTTTTTGTGAATTAACCACTGGGTGAGTGTTAAATTTACTAATTGTATAATCGGGTATGGTATAGTAGAGAATATTATTTTTGTTGCACTTATAATTTTGTTGCAAACGAACATTTTAGCTAGGAATATTGGTTAGGAAGGTTTCCGACCATCCTTAGCCCCAGGACTAGTCTTGTAATGAGCCTTTCCTTATCCTTGCCTACCCTTCTTAGTGATACCAAATGAAGGAAGAGTTAATCGAAGGAATCACAATTGACAGCATTGACATTACTGTAGAAGTCGGATTCAATTTTATTATATGATTGGCGAATTTTATTTGATTTTATTAAATAAAAAGAATTGAACCTCAAACTCGTTGATCATAAATCTCTGTCACTTTATATAACTTAATTATCTTGTTAGTTAAGTATGTTATTACCCATCATTATGCTAACGCGAGAATGTATAAATAATCTGATTCCGTGGCATTGAGAATCTGATTTATTGGAAAACCCAATGAATTTGAGATGGTATTTTGAGCAAACTTAGGCAATGCCTGATGTGTAATTTCAATTATGATCTGATTGGCTGGAGTGGGTTTATTATAATTATTTAGTGATGTTATGAGAGTAATTAAAGTAATAATTTGAATTATGTTAGAGTTGAAGCTCAAACACAGTGAGCACCACATTTGTTGTTAGTCAGCTTAATCGTTAAGGGACTACGACGTCCTAAACTCATCATAAGGTCACAAGGTTAATATTCTTGACATTGAAGTTTTGATTTGAAATTTAATATGTGTATTAACTTGTAAATCTCAATCAAAATGATTACGGATATTAAATTTTAGGGTATTAAATTTTCATTTTGTTAATGTTGGAATAATAACTGCCATGAAAAAGTAATGTTCTAATTATGATCTTGTTCGCAGGTCTCTCATCGAAGATACATTTTACCATTTCCGAAGAACCTCTTATATCTCATAATCTCCTTATACTTGCGTTGATAGGACTGATATAATCTACTTGATTAATCGTAATCTAGGACTGATAATCTACTAGGACTGATAAAATCTAGGACTGATAATCTACTTGCCCTGATAGGACTGATCGATTTTGGCCATCTTCTCAGCATCTATTGTGTCTCATAACCTTCTCAGATTTATGCTAATTTGCCTAATTTTTCTGGTCATTATTTCCCTGCCTTTTAACTTGAGACAACCTCTGAACCTTTTTGCTAGAATAAATTACCCTAAAGATTCCTTACAACCTTCATTATCCTACATAACTGGGTTTCAGTAAAACCTCTGATTCTTAAGTTAGCCAAGAATTCGTCCAAAGCAATTCAAGGTGACTAAAGTAGCTGGCAAAATATTATTTAGGTCTTTGCTTTTTCTAAATTCATCATTAGAAGTTATTTTCAACTTTTCAATGAGGTTATTCTCAGTGCTTTCATCGAGTGCTTTTACCCACTAAATTGGATAATCACACTTCCTACAATAAAAACTACTTTGCCCTCAAATTGAAATCTATCTTATCGCGTCCATTGAATCTAGTTCTATAAATTAGAAGGTTTCACTTTCCCCTTTAATGAAGACGCCGTCATTTGAAGTCTAATAAAATCATTTTTAAACATAATTTAGGTCTCCCCATAATCCTTCAGTTGAAATCCTTGTTACTCCTATTACCTGAACGCGCGTGAGCCTCACTTCCTCCTCTTCAGAGGTCCCTGCTACCTCTAAACTCCCCTTTTCCCCGATGTTCCCAAAACCCCTCCTCCTACACACCCAATCCCCCCAAACCTACCCACCATCCTCCCCCTTCACCTATTTCACCCAAACCCCTCTTCTCCCCACCTGCACTGCAACCCTATTAACCCGCTCCTCCCCACCTGTTTTGCCCATCTCCTCTTCCCCACTGGGTCATCCACTCACCTCACCACGTCTTCGTCCCATGACCCGCCTCATCCAAAAGTTTTTCCCCAAACCGCTCCTCCCCACCTGTTACCCCCATTGCTCTCCTCCTCTCCCTCATAACCTACCTTCTCCCAACCAATTCTCCCCCTGCCCCCTCTCATCCCCTCATATCCCCTCCCCCCACCTGGTTCACCCGGAACCGCAAATCTAGTGCAGGTATGCCGAGGTAGAACAAGAACGCTGCGTAGTCGCTGCCTGAACCCAGTGTCTGCTGCCTGTGGAAGGAGGTGGTTATCTCGTTAGGCAGATGGTTATCTCATTAGGCACGTGGTTATCTTATTAGGCAGGTGGTTATCTCATTAGGCAGGTTGTTATTTCATTTGGAAGGTTGTTATTTCTTAGGGCAGCTGGTTGTCTCATTAGTCAGCGGTATGTCTCAATCTTGAAGGTCTCGCTTTCGAAGTTTGGTGCCATTCCGGTTATTATTTTGACCACTCCCGTTTCCTCCGCAGTGAGTACAGACCCAGGCGTTTCAACCCCTCTCAGTAGTTCAACTCTTCCATCCCTCTGGTCCTGGAAGTGAAGGTTCATTGGACCCCTTCCAGCTGCCGCACTGCGCCGAGAGTGAACGGAGTCCAGAACAGGCAGTAGTATTCAATGATAGGTATTACAAGGGCTCCGATGAGTGTGATCATTGGTTCCGCGTCCCTTGTTCTGAACGTCTGCCAGATCCACCCAATCTGTCGCCTACCTCTTGCGGTTAATACCGTTATGTAATCGCCAAACTTGACCTGAGTATTCATCAACACTTCTAGATCGCAAACGAGTCGCTTCTCTCCCATTTCCGAGTGGTCAGATGCCAGGTAGCGGTGCTCCATGCCAGCTCTTCCGCTACCTCTGTATCTCAGAACCTCAAACTCGGTCCCGCTGAACTGCATGTTGTTCACTTGGGCCCAGTCATATATTGCAGAGACGTCTTTTTGCAACCTCTCGCAGTTCGTCCTTTCCGTAATGATCATTAGTATACTGGTCACTACTGATCACTATAATGATCATCCGCGAATGACGTTGCAGCGGCGTGGTTCACTGCCACGTCTCTGTTGGCGATGTAAATGCGGAAGAGGATTGGGCCGAATACCGTTCCCCGTGGAACTCCACTCTTCACCCTAGTCTCGCTCGAAATCGAGCCTCCAACAACGACCGTTTGTAGTCTTTCTGTTAGGAAGCTGTGTATCCATGCCAGCAACTCACCTCCGACCCCCAGTAGTCTAAATTTTCTGAATAGCCTCCTTGGTCAACTTTGTCAAACGCTTTCGCGATGTCCAAATACACCACGTCCACCCCGGCCCCTTCCTCCAGCATGGCCAGGATTTGGTGATGGTACTCACACAAGGTAGACTGGTACTCACACAACGTAGACTGGTACTCACACAAGGTAGACTGGTACTCACACAAGGTAGACTGGTACTCACAAATGAAGATACGTTAAGAGGGTACGTAATGAAGATACGTTCATAGGGTACGCTGATAGTGTTCGATACTGACCAACATAACCACGCCATCTCTCGCAGCTGTTACATTGATTGCGTATGCCACCTTCAGTGACATCAGTCAGTCAGTCATATAGTCAGTCACCGCCCAGCCTCTCTAGCAATACGTTGCGGCCTGGAGCTAAGGCCTTGCTTACAGTCACCCGCTTTGTCACGCGATCCGCAATATAAATATGACGGTCAGTCCTCCTTGATCGTCTAAGACCACTTCAACGAACTCTGTCCACTAGAATTTTACATCCTGTTTCAGCAAATCCGTCAAAGGAGCTGCGACTTTTGCGAAGTTTTTTATGAACCTTCTATAATAATTTATTTAACACACCAAAAACGCGGTGAACTTCGTTAGCGTCTTTTGGAACTGAATAGTTCCTCATTGATTCCGTCTTTATGTCATCGATTTTAACGCCGTGCGCGGAGACTATGTGGACCAAGAATTTGCTCTTTTATTTGAAGAATTCGCACTTTTCTAACTTAATCTTCAAGCCTGCATCGCGAATTTTACGCATAACTGCTGCAATGTCGCTTAGATGCTTATATTTTGTTTTAGAGAAAATGATGACGTCGTCGAGATAGACGAGAGCTGAAACTCCGAGCAAGGCATTAAATGTAGCATTTACCGGACTTTGGAACACGCTAACGACTAGTCCAAATGGAAGTTTATAAATTTAAAATGGCACATAGGCGTTGTGAACGGGGTTTTTGCAGAGCTCTCATCTGTTAGTGGTAGTTGCCAGAACGCTTGCGCTAGATCTATTAATATGAAATGGGCATTTCCACGCAGGGTATTGATAAGGCTCGTTATTTCAGGCAAAGGATACCTAGCTGGCTGCGTAATTGCGTTTGGCTTTCTGAAATCGGCGACAAACCGAAAACTGCTATCTTTATTTTTTATCATTATGACGGGGGAATTCCAAGGCGACGATGTAGGTTTGATAATTCCGTGTTGAAGAATTTCATTAACTGTTGCATTTAATTTGCTTTCGTGATTTAATTTGCTTTCATGTTGCATTTAATTTGTTTTTTTAATGCGCTATTTTATATTGCTTGATGTACACGACATCGTTTTTGTGCTGCACTTTCAATTTAATATCATAGGTGAGCACATGGTATTACCAAGAGCGCGATTGCAACGCGATTTCGATTTAGAATTGACATCAGATGAAGCAATGTGTTACCCGTCTCCGGCGTATTAATATCGCTTGCTTTAAGCGGCGCGTGCGGCTCGTGGGGGTCTATCACTACTTAATGTAACTGTTCCGCATTTTTGAGACGTTCTTCCATACTTTTCAGGATTCGAGTCTCTCGAGACTTGATAAATGTGATTTTTATTCAACGCAACTGTGTTAGCGCAGGTATTTAACAACCGAAAACTGCTATCTTTATTTTTTATCATTATGACGGGGGAATTCCAAGGCGACGATGTAGGTTTGATAATTCCGTGTTGAAGCATTTCATTAACTGTTGCATTTAATTTGCTTTCGTGATTTAATTTGCTTTCATGTTGCATTTAATTTGCTTTTTAATGCGCTATTTTATATTGCTTGATGTACACGACATCGTTTTTGTGCTGCACTTTCAATTTAATATCATAGGTGAGCACATGGTATTACCAAGAGCGCGATTGCAACGCGATTTCGATTTAGAATTGACATCAGATGAAGCAATGTGTCACCCGTCTCCGGCGTATTAATATCGCTTGCTTTAAGCGGCGCGTGCGGCTCGTGGGGGTCTATCACTACTTAATGTAACTGTTCCGCATTTTTGAGACCTTCTTCCATACTTTTCAGGATTCGAGTCTCTCGAGACTTGATAAATGTGATTTTTATTCAACGCAACTGTGTTAGCGCAGGTATTTAACATCATGAATGGGCATTCGTGTCCGTGCTCATCGATTAAGCTCTACCTGAGGATCGAGTTACGTGACAAATGTCTTAAGGATAAGACACATGTGTCTAATAACATATCTCATATACGGGGTGGTTATACATTACGAAACAGAGGTATATTAAGCTACGGCGTCGACCGTAAGGTCGGAGAACTCGACCGACGCGTTCAACTACTTACTTAAGGTTGCTAGCCTTTATATAGCCTTCGCTTCCGCCCACAACTAAGGTCTTGATCGCGTGATCTACCACGTGTCGTTCAAATGCTGATTCATGTCATCAACCTCTATCAGGTCAAGTGAATATTACGTCTCAATTACATACAATTATAATGATTATAATGAGACGCCAGATTGACACCGGACATTCGCCGTTTTTAATAGTCACCAAACTTGATGCTACGAGGAAATTATCAACAGTGTTTTTTTCAATTAGATAATTACCGTCTAGAATTTTACGGCAATGAATTGTCATACCAGAATTATTACAATCTGGTACTTCTGTCCCGTCGTTGACGTGCAAATACAGTAAGCATGAATCAGGTGTGATCTGCTCTAAGCTGCTAGTGGGTGTTGTGTTGCTTGGCTTGCAAAGATCTTATGATCTTACGATGAGTTTAGGACGTCGTAGTCCACGGTCATGCTGATGCGCCGCCTTCGTCGTCCTCCGTCTCCGAGTCGTCGTCGGATGTAACGTTGGCAGTGTTCCGTCTATTAGCCCTCATTTGGGCACGCTGATGCAAGATGCTGTTGCTGGTCACTTGCTGAGGGTGGTTTCCCATTACTGGACAGTCCGGGATCTTGCTCAACCACTTGTCCAGTTGTCTCTTGAATGTTGCAAGGGTGAACTCCCCTCCTCTCAGCGCTTTTGGCAAGACATTAAAGAGCAGCTTTCAAAGCATGCAAGCATGAAGCTTGCATGCTCTGAGTTCATCGCCCAGCTGCTCGCTGTGATGCTGTGCTGTTCTGTGATACTCGCTGTACTGTGTTTAATTGGTGTACTGTGTTGTACTGTGTAATTGTACAATTGTACTGTGTTCCCGCGAACAGTCACGTACGTTATACGGGTACAGCTCATGTACGCTTTACGGGTACGGGTCACGTACGTTATACGGGTACGGGTCACGTACGTTATACGGGTACAGCTCATGTACGCTTTACGGGTACGGGTCACGTACGTTATACGGGTACGGGTCACGCACATTATGCGAGTACGTTACTTGCATCATGGCGGTCACTTTGCGGTTAAGTTATGATACAAAATATAATGAATAATTATCGCATATTTCTCTGCATGTACGCTAAGATGGCCTCACCATGGCGGTGACTTTAAGGTTGAGGCCCCAGAGCAGCGGTGAGGCCTTCAGATGTAAGTAAGGCCCTGCGGCGCACGTGTCTGTATTGATGTAGGCCACGGCCCGCTGGGCCAGCTGCATCTCGTGCTCCTGTGGGGCCAATCACTCATGTTGTGACAATTAAAACTGATATNCACTCATGTTGTGGGGCCAATCACTCATGTTGTGACTATCACTCCAGTTGTGGGGCCAATCACTCATGTTGTGGGGCCAATCACTCATGTTGTGGCTATCACTCCAGTTGTGGGGCCAGTCAACAACACAATTAATGCCAATCATTCTATTTATGGGGCCAGTCGCCCCCGTTGCGGGGCCAATCACGTCACGCATGACGACTCCTCATTATCGGAAAGCTATTATTAATCGAATGTGTTATTTAAGTATATATTAAAAAATGTATTTTTCAGTCTTCCGGACGCCACGTAAATCCATGTATATTCTAAGTATTGTTAATGTAATAAATATACAAAAAATTAAGGGAAACCAACCCCAGAAGCAACTCGATTGATAATCATTGCAAGACTGAACTAATTATGCAAGCTATTGAGTTGACGAAATTACTCAATAAGATTATAATTAAAACACGATAATAAATGTGAGAGGCGATGAATGTGAACGCTAATAACGCGAGGTGCACTCAGAAAATTGAGAGACTTTGTCCAAATAGCGCTGCACTTCCTGCTCTTGTGTTAGCCATGGAAACCTCACTTTGCCCTGCAAAAGAACGTTTCAGTGCCACACGAAGGAAGTGTGTCACTATTTGGACAATATAATCCAGTCATTTCTGTGAGTGTGATGATGACTCACCTCGACCCACTCGGTGCTGCCGATGAGGCCAAACTCCTCGGCGCCCCACGAGCACAGGACGATGGTCCTGCGCGGCCGCCATCCTGGTCAGGCATACATATTCATATATTCATTAATTCATTTAATGCATTGCAGTAAAATTAAATTATTTGAATGGAGGATAAAATACAGCCAACCTAAAAATTACTGAATTGCGATCCATCATCAACTGAACTATTCCTTTTAATCCAGTTGGCCTCCCTCCACTCACCCCCCTCCACCAGCTGGCCTCCCTCCACTCACCCCCCTCCACCAGCTGGCCTCCCTCCACTCACCCCCCTCCACCAGCTGGCCCAGCACCCGGGCCGTCTCCACCAGCTGGGCCGTGCCACTGGAGGGGTCGCTGGCCCCGTAGCCCCACGCGTCCCGGTGGTTCCCCACGAACACGTACCGCTCTGGGACGTATATCATATTTAATATAATAATAATAATAATATTAAATAATAATAATATGAATAATAATAATAGTCATTAAAATTCGTTGATAAATAATAGATAAAATCGAGAATAGTGGGACACGTCAATTACTCTATATATTGAAGTGCACAATGTCTGGTGTGATATTACTGCTTAAAAACTCTTGTTGAATATTAGCCTGTAATATGTACAATAATTGATGTGTACTGCATTGACATTTAAATAATTTTATACGGGTAAAAATTCATCGAATAAGATACTAATATAGATCACCAGTCTATAAGTAAGGTTATTTCTCAATCAATTTGCTCTGAGATTTTGGTCATTATTTCATTTATAAAGATAATTTGCAAAAATCTCTTGTTTCCTCTGCACATTAACAGCGACTATTACAATGATTCTTAGGACAATAGGTAAGAAATAACATCGTATTGCATTATAAAAAGTAGTTACATTTCTGTCAATTGATAAGGAATTTAAAAGCAAAGAGTAGCCAACCAAATTCACCATTACGTTATTGGAAACTTCGTTTTAAATTCCTTGTGAACTTGCGATCTAAGCAAATTATATAAGTAGTGTCAATTGAACATTTTTATGTAAAATGATTGCAATTATATTTAAAAAAACTCCCCCCACCAGGCTCCACGCCCCCCTTGAGGGTGGCGATGACGTTGCTGGACTTGACGACGACTTCGTTGTTGTTGCTGGTGAGGCGCAGGCGATGAGTGGCAAACTCTGGCCTCATGGTGGGGCCTAGGCGGTATACGAGGCCCTCGAGGCCCCCCTGCCACTCCTGGGGAGCAGCGGGGCCATCTAAGGTTCTGAATAAACGTAAAATGTCAAGACGCAGACCTAAAATCAATTAAATGTATTAAAACCCCTGCAATTGATCATTATTTTCCAATTTAGACTTGACGAAGTAGTCGAGGTTGCCTTCATTAGATTCAACTTTTTTCCTTAGTCTTCCATTCTAGGGACCAGTTTTAAGCCAGTGATTTAATTCATTTCGAAGCTTTCAATAAACAATTTAAAAAGCTATCGTTTAAAAGAAAAATATATTTATATTTTTTTCTTTCCCTACTCGTTTATTATTGTTTTTATTACTCCTTCCCCTGCCACTCCTCACTCCTTCCCCTGCCACTCCTCACTCCTTCCCCTGTCACTCCTCACTCCTTCCCCTGTCACTCCTTACTCCTTCCCCTGCCACTCCTCACTCCTTCCCCTGCCACTCCTCACTCCTCCCCCTGCCACTCCTCACTCCTTCGCCTGTCACTCCTCACTCCTTCCCCTGCCACTCCTCACTCCTTCCCCTGTCACTCCTCACTCCTTCCTCTGTCACTCCTCACTCCTTCCTCTGCCACTCCTCACTCCATCCTCTGTCACTCCTCACTCCATCCTCTGTCACTCCTCACTCCTTCCTCTGCCACTCCTCACTCCTTCCCCTGTCACTCCTCACTCCTTCCCCTGTCACTCCTCACTCCTCCCCCTGCCACTCCTCACTCCTTCCCCTGCCACTCCTCACTCCTCCCCCTGTCACTCCTCACTCCTCCCCCTGCCACTCCTCACTCCTCCCCCTGCCATTCCTCACTCCTTCCCCTGTCAATCCTCACTCCTTCACCTGCCACTCCTCACTCCAGTATCCTCCTGGCGTCCGCGTATCCTATAGGCTGAGCGGGGATGGTGGGGAGTCCTGCGTCCTCCTTGGGGATGCGGTAAGCTGTGTCGGTTGAAGGCCACCCCGGGGTGAGGGGGTCTCCGCTCCCCATCAGAGTCGTTCCCCTCTGAATCCCCGTCCCTGGGGGATGAGGAACAAATCCGAGACTCAATTCAGAACAAAATAACTAAATTCAGTCTCAATAATTGCCAATAAAGTAGAACGTAACAGATTGGAATAAAATATTTATTTGTATGTGTTGTATGGATCCGAATCCCCACTTGTTAGAGGTAAGCGAAATTGAATAATTATCAGAAACCTAACCAAGTAATAAAGAAATAATTACTAATTCCTCTAGGACGATAAAATTTCACCCTAAATTATCGAGGGCTGCGCACCTGGCAGCCAGTGGGTGTAAGGGTAAACATCTTCAGGTTTTTGTCCTTCCCTCGCCACGTCGCTGGGGTCCGAAAAAAGGATCACGCCAATTGCGCCGTACTGAGCGGCATGCGTGATCTGCAGGCGGCAGTTAGGGTTACATTAGTTTCCCATGAGAAGAAAATCCGTCTCATAGAAAACGAAAATGAAGCTCCATAGAAAACCACTTGGTTTTTGGGTATACTGAAACATGCGCATAACTCGATGAAAAATGCAGCTAAATCACACATCAAGTTATCAACCACGCACGATGCCGATGGCAACACAATTTGTGACCACATAAATGCTTAATAAAGCCAGACCTTTTTGATTTGGTTTGGCGGGTGGCAACACGCACCTTGTTGCCACGGAAAAGTTTTCCGTAGCGCACGATGGCAATACGGCCTTTTACGGTCACGTTTAGGTCAGCCAAACGAGCGAAGTCCTCAAGGCTGCCGTAGTTGACGTAAACGGCCGCCTCTCCCACGGCCGTCCACACGTCCCCTGAATGACGGGTGTTAAGTTACCGCCATTTGAAGACTGTAATCATCATGGATATTGGATACGGTTTACTGAGCATTATGTGCGCGTGAGTACGTTCCAAAGGGCATTATGGGCACGCTACAAGTGGGCATTACGGGCACGCTGCAAGTGGGCATTACGGGCACGCTACAAATCAGCATTACAGGCACGCTACAATGAGCATTACGGGCACGCTACAAGTGGGCATTACGAGCACGCTACAAGTGAGCATTGTGACTTCAATGGGCGTCATCTAGTGCCTCACCTCGAGGGGTGTAAGCGCTGAAGGCGTGGGAGAACTCGGGGTGCTCGTCGCCGGGGTGAAGGGGAAGTTCCTTGTGGGATGATGTGAATATCGTTGTGTTATCGCCGTCGTATAGCCGCACCTGCGGGGGAGGGGGTGGGGGATTAGGGCAGGGGGATGGTGTGGGATGCCGTGTATATCGTCCCGTTATCGCCGTCATATACAGACATATAGCCGTACCGGTGAGGGAGGGGTGTGTTTAGGGATTAGGGGAGAAGGTGGGCGCAGCGGAAGAAATTAGAAGCATTCAGTGGGGCGAGGCTTGCAGGAGTGAAGGAGTGCAAGCACCGGAGGATTGGAAGAGTGGGACTTGAAAGGTCGGGACAGTGAAAGAGTGAAAGCACTGGAAAATGGCGATTATGACTTGAAGGGACAAGAAGTGCTGGGATTGAAGGGTTTGTGAGAGCACCAACTAGTTTAGGGTTGAAGAAATACTCACCAGGTTTGGGTTGAGGGGGTCGGGGTGGGACAAGAGATATTCCCTTGCAGGAACGCTGACGTCATCGAAGCCGAAGTCCAGAAATTTCCGCTGCAGCCACCGGACCAACTCCTCGTCCCGAGCTCCCCCCGCCACGTGAGGGCCCTTCGTCAGTTCCCTGGAAAGCAAAGGGATCAGGATTGTGAGCCTATTGGAGTAAAGGGGTCGGGAGGGTTGCCTCCCCCGCTGGATAGGGGTCAGCTTCTATGGGGGGAAGGGGCATTAAGTGAGCTGCCTGGTAGGAAAGGTCAGCAATCTTGGGGTATGGGGGAATGTATACTCAGCGCTCACCGTAAGTTTTGCCGTTATTCTCAGTGTTCATCGTAAATTCTGGCCGATATTCTCAGCGCTCACCGTAAGTTCTGGCCGATATTCTCAGCGCTGATGAGCCTGAGAAGTTCTCGGGATCCGCGGCCGCTGCCCTGACGCTCGTCCAGGTCGAACTGGTCCGCCGTGAAGGCCAAGCTTTCGGCTCCCTGGGAGATGGTCGCCATGATAACCTTTATCGTGTTAATTCTGATTACTTACAGTGACTTCATTTATGTTAATTGCATAAAATATTTTAGCGTTCTCTTAATTTTTAATTGCATAAAATATTTAAGCGTTCTCTTAATTTAGTAATAAATTAGATCAAATAATCAACTAACGGAATACATTTTATTATTTAACGGAATGGGCCTCACTGACCGCGGCGTCGTTGCCAGACGTGGCGACGTGGCCCACCAGGACCCCTATGATGAGCCCCACCGCCGCTCCTCCCACCAGGAGGATGACGTGCGACCGCTCCAGTATCTTCATCGTGCCGGGCCCGGGCCTAACTTTGTCTTGAGGGACTTGGCCCGCCGTCAATCTTATTCGGGCTTACGGTCTTGGGGTCGCGCTATCAAAACTCGTTTAGTACACGTAGCGGCCCAAGAATACGTAGCGGCCTAAGTACACGTAGCGGCCCAAGAACATGCAGCGGCCTAAGTACACGTAGCGGTCCAATAACACGCAGCGGCCTAAATATACGTAGCGGTCCAAGAACACGCAGCGGCCTAAGTACACGAAGCGGCCCAAGAACACGCAGCGACCTAACTACACTTCTAATTAGCTTATTTATTAATCTGTAGCAGAAAAATGCTATAATATATGCTATAACATAGATAATGATATAAAATCCGATAATATATTGTTTCAAAAGAATAATTTCATGGTTTTATTGGCATCCAGTCCAAGTTTGTCCTGGTGCTGCATGGCCGGTAACTTCTATTGACGTAAAGAACAGAACTCCCATTAACAGAACTCTGCACCGTCCATCATTTTAAAATCAGGCACTAGTTCACTTATCATTCCAGTCCAGGCAATATGGCGGTCAGCTGAGTTGAAGTGGAGTCTTGTGGAGTAAGGTAACTTGGAAAGATGTTATGTGGGGAGAGTTGAGGTGGATTGCAGTCGCGTTAAATAAAGTGTTCAGCGTTACGTAAGGTGGATTGAAATCTCGTGGTGTTAGTTGTGGTGGAATGCGGGATTTTGGTGTTATAGACATGGTGGAGTTCGGTCGTGTGGTGCAAAATAAAGAAGAGTGATCGTGTGCTGTTAAACAATACGGAGTGTACAGGTCGTGGGCTAACAGGAGCACGACTTCAATGCCTCAGGCCTACGGGATAGTGACCTACAATAGCCGGTGCGACAAATAGTACATACGGTGCGACAAATTATACTAACAAAATTACCATTGAAAAAATTACATGGATGAGAGACATCCATGTTCGGATCACTCCTTAAAAATAAATATTAAAGATATGTTGAACATGTCTATGTAATACACATACAAATATTGTTGGAAGGGATTTACAAGGAATTTAAAAAACAAAGAAGATGGCACAGTAATGTGAGTTCGGTTGATTTGCGATTTATGCAAAGGCATTTTATAATTTAATGGAAGAGATGGCAACAATGGGCTGACTGAATGTCTATCGCGACACTGGCGTCACATACAGCGGACTAACACAGAGATCGTGTAACGAAATCCACGTAACGTGTGATGTTGTTTCGTTAACGTCGTAACCACAGCCGTGTTACAGCGTCAATGTCGTAACACGTGTCGCGGCTATATCACTGTCGTAAGTATACAGCTGTAACATGGTTCTAAAAATTAACTAATGATTTCATTTATAATGTTAAGTTTTTAAAATCTATTCCTCATGTTTTGCATGAACGACTAGAGAAGCACTTTTCAGAATATTCGCTAAAAAATAACAGATTGCGTATAATATATATGCACATATATTAAAAATATGCAAGTATATATATATACTTGCAGCCGCAGCAGCGACGGGATCTCTTACCATAGAAAAAAAATGAACTTTTAACACCGTTACCGATCTTTAATTCTGTCTTACAATCATTTGACAAACAATGAAACCAACTTGAAGATGGTATGAGGGTATCTTATTTCTCTGAGTGTGAGGTTTTAGAGTAGCTCGAGTTCTGACTTATATGCACTCGCAACTTCGGTAAAAAAATTAATATTTGTGAAGCGATCTTGTAAAACCAAAGCAGTGGTCCGATTTTAAAGCAAACATCTTGTTTTGACGCCACAGACCCTGGCGCCACATGCCAGCGTTTAACAAATGAAGCTTGAATTGCGTAAGTGTTGTATTAGTTTATGTACTGTTTATATACTGGTAAATATAAATATACTGTTGATAAACTAATATGGGTCCTTTAAATGAAAGGACGGGAAGAAATGTATAGCTTCTCAAAGGGGTACGAAGCACGGACGGAATCGCTATCGTAACGGATGTCCTAACCGCTATCACTCAAACAACAAATGTTATCACTCCATCACTGTTGAAGAGCTTATCGTGAATTAAATTACTCTCATAACAAATGTTGCAACAACAATCGGAATAGTTTCAATTACCTTCCAAATATATTCTCTTTGGGAACATAAATCGTATAGGTTCTACGTCGTTCATCATTCATGTCATAGTGAAATAATATTGTAGTGAAACATATATAGAATACTAGGGACGCAAGGCATTGATAAAGTAGCTTCAAGTATACGTAATTGATTGCGGTGACGGTTGAATAACAACTAAATGGCGTCGGGTTGCTCCTATCAACGAGACAAAGGTCAAGTTTTATGGTCAGAATTTCTTGACAAATAAAAAAATAATTTACTAATACAACACCTGAAATCAAATTGGAATTTAAACAAACCTATATCATTCATTGGTTTTCTTTGGGATATAAATGATTAAGAACAAGTGATAGAAAATGTGGAAAGTCCGGCACATCCAGAACTAAGCTTTCACGAAGAACGTCACATAACCTCACCCTTTCGCGCCCAGCGCGGCACTGGAAGTTGGAACAACCGCTAAACCGCGCGCAGTTCCACAGTTCGCTATTATATGAAGAAGCATTGTTGTTGCACTAGGGGTCAGTAACTTGAATGCCGCTATCGTACATGTTAACGTTTGCCAAATAACTTCAATGTTTCGTATCTAATTTTTGGGTTTATTGTCTAATATATAAAGCATGAAGCTATTAGATGTCAACCATCGAATGCGTGTGCTCTGGAGACATTTTAAACTTCGTTTATAAGAAGTCGTCTTGAGAACTAGTTTTTAGTTCCTAGTTGATTTTGGGGAACTGAAGACGGAAACATTTAGTGTGCGCATTATGAAATTCCCAGAATGAACGGTAGTCCAGGTATCAGTTTCCACAAAGCTTTGTGTGCGTTCTGAAATAATTCCATTTTAATTTTGTAACTTACTTTATGGGCAATTTTAATGCAAGGAACGAAATTCATAACTTTATTGTTTTTTTTTTTGCTATTCAAATCCTTCATAAATCATTTAGTAGACATTTTGCCATTTACATGAGGACTGATTTAAGACCATCGTAAAAATAATTGAAACCAGCACATTTGTTTGATGATAACATGTCATTTATTGGCGGTCAATTACCAATTCCAAGCGGGTAAGAATGGCAAGCGATCTGAAGGCAAATATTTACGTTTGAAAGTATGCAAGGAATAAAAAAAATCCTAAAATCTGGCACACCCAAAATAAATCTATAATTAAATCTCAGCCAAGGACACGTTACACTGCTCAACGTAAAGGCGTAGACCAGCTGCTGGATGGGGCGAGTGGGCCTGCAGCAGCGGGGGAAGCTCCCGCTGCGGTGCTCAGCGGCTCTGACGTAAGTTGCACGCTGTCATTTCAACGTACGCGGATGCGCACTGCGCACAACTATACTCATTAAACAGAGAGGATTTAATCCGGGATATGGGGAGGGATCAATCCGACAGGATCGAACACTTTTAATTTTCGGTAAGAAGAAAATTCCCATTACCTAACCAATAAAGGAATTTTAAAATTATTTATCAGTAACATGCAAGTTGATATTGCCATATATTTCACGAATAAGATCTTCAAATCTCTCGACACTACTGCTCAGAGTAGATGAGAGCGTAAAAATTCCGCCAAATTCGTCGGAGTATACACTTCCGGTTGAATAATGCACGGTTTTAATGCTGTTGACGAGTTTTTCTTTGAAAAATGTCTTGAAACAAAGTCGAACAGTAAGCGACTTTTAAGATTGGATGAATATTTGAAGCTGTGCAAAATTGCGGTCGTAAATTTCACTAAGGTTTCAACCTACGTCGTATATTCAATGATCATTACTAAAGTTTCTTCTCTATGAAAAGCTTATATTAGCTATGCCGTTTATTTAGTTTTGTACGGCCAGAATCATGTATGAAATGAAGTGAATGGAGGACTGAATGGAACTTTGAAGGTATGCCTCAAATCATTCATAACATGACATAACATAACATAGTGATCTCGGCGCTGAAGCGTAGGCCTGATGTGGCCTGTCGCCGATTCTTTTCTTTTTCGTGCCTTGTTCATAGATCTAAACTCGTGTCATTTGACCGGATCTTTTCATGACTGACGATAGTTTGAAATAGCTACTAGACTTCCACCGGGTTCCATAAGGAGCTAGGCATTTCAAATCTAAACATATATTTTTCCATAGTTTTATCTAGTCTGTTCTTGAACGCGTTCATACTTGGAGCGCCAACGATGTCATCAGGGAGGCTGTTCCACATGTCGGTGATTCTAAATTTAAAGCTTATTCTGACTTTTTCACAATTATGTGAAGAAAATGCTGCGACTTTCAGCCGATTACTTCTGCTGAATTGAGTAACGGTTTTCAGGAGACGATGGCTGCCAGAGCCTTATTGAATTAAATTATTGAACTATAATATATTATAATAATATAGATCCTTTGTTTGGTGACGAATGTAAACGATGCGATTCCACGCTACTGCGATTCGAACAAAGATGAGAAACAGACTAAACTTTGGAAACTATAATATACAATATATTAACTACATAACTTTTACGGTTAAATCTTGAACATTTTAAACCCAATTTTTATAGAATTGCTACTTCTCATCTATCATTAACATCAAGTTGAGCGATAATTAGGTGATTTATTGTATTCTTCACTATTTGATCTCAATGTATATTAACTATTAACTATCACTATTTAGCTCAATAGGTATTAACAATTAAATTCGTATTACTATTGTAATTGATCCACTTAAAAAATTGCTAACTTATTGGCCGAAACTTGTATCATACGTATCATATTATAGTGATGTCGGCGCTGAAAAGTAGGCCTGTCGCCTATTTTTGTACTTTTCGTGACTTGTTCACAAGAAATCCAAAAACATGTCCTTTGACCGGATCTTTTCAAAACTGACGATAGTTTGAAATGATCTACTAGACTTCCACCGGGTTTGATATGGTGCATGCCAGGCATTTCAAGTGTGAACATATATTTCTCAATAGCTTTATCTAGTCTGTTCTTGAACGCGTTCATAATCGGAGCGTCAACGATGTAATCAGGGAGGCTGTATGTCGGTGATTCGAAGCGAGAAGAAATGTTGCGTCGCGTGGATGAGTTGCAACGTACTTTTCTTTAGTTTTAGTCGTGGCCCCTGGTGTTGGTTATTGTCTTAAATTCTAGTAATCCTTCTGGGACCTTGTATAGACCATGAGTATATTTGTATACTTCAATGAGTTCCCCACGCAGACGTCGATAACGGAGGCTGGGAAGCTTCATCATCTTCAATCTTTCTTCATAAGATTTGCTCTTCAAGCCCGGAATTATCCTTATTGCACGTCTTTGAACCTTCTCTATTAAATTTCAGTCCTTTTCAAATCTCGGTGACCACACAACGTTTCCAAACTCTAGATACGGGCGCAGGACAGTAACAAACAACTGCTTCTTCGTTTCTGCATCTAGGAACTCGTAAGAGCGTCTGATCAGTCCACGAAATTTATTGGATTTATTAGCTTGCGTTTCATTATGCCTAGAAAATTCCATCTTCTTCTCGATATAAACACCCAAATATTTTCGATCATTACTCTTTTGTCGCAACCATTTCCTAATCTAATTTTAAAGTAGCTTGTTGAACTATACAAAAAAACCATCAAGGTTTGAAACCATCCAGAGGTGAGGCGGGTGGCGAACAACCGAGTCCTCATAAAACGGATCCGAAAAAGAAGAATATTTATCCTATTGTGAATGAAATAACGGCAGTGTTGATCACGGATTCTACGACTAAAAAGTTAGGCAAGAAAAACTAGCGACGTATTCAAAGTATATTTCTAACTCTGCATCAGCACATAGTTATTGAGCAAAATGTAAGGGACTTTGCTACTGAACCTTACAGCTAAACGTTACCTTGTCAACAAATGTGTGGCCAACAGTACAACTCAAAAGTTTAAACTAAAAAATATACTAAGCGAGTCCTCTGATACGAACAATTATTCAATGAAGACCCTTACATCTATTAAATACATGTAATAAGTACACTTATCAAACTCCTTACCATTTTATGCTTATATTGAAGTAAGTTATGTCAATGGACGGACATAATATTAAAGAATTGCGATATCAGCTCTGAATTTTTACAGCTTGTTGCGGGTCTCGAACACGCAACTAGCGGCTCCAATATCCACTGTGCGTAACTGTCCAGCCACCTAGCCGATTTTGATCAAGACTTTTCACAGTTGGCTGTTTGTATCGACCCCGCAACTCACTGCGTTCATCGCTCATTATATGGTAAATTGATCATTATATCATCAGAAGAAACGAATTATTTATTGCTGCACGTTTGCTCATCTTAAGATCTTTATCAATATTCAATATTTCGCTGATACAAAACAATTAAAAATTAACGAACAATACAATTAACTTCGATAAATAAGGAAATTTTAGCATAATTTAGAAATGGAACATATGATAAAAATGAGTATTCGATCATTCATTAATATATTAGCGTAGAAATAGCAGTTCATGACATCGCTTCTCACGTCAGCAATACATTTAATTAGAGCACTACTTCTACAATGCTCTCTTATTGTCATCATCCGTTAAAGGTAATTCCTAGTGTAACAGAACTACGAATGTAGCAGTAACTTATTTATATACACGAGGCCTCGACATCAGGCTATAGAGACGGTAAACTCTAGGTTAAAATCTTTATTTAAATGATAATTTATTTGATCGTTATTTGACATGCATTTGGCTGCAAAAGCTGATAAAATAAGTCTCATCATATCGGTTATGTAGCAGCATTTTGCCTGACGTTGCTTTATCATTTGGACTTTTTTTTGTTCGCAATCTTTAGCTTTGTTTTATTTCACGGTATAATCAATCACTGCTATATCCACAAGAAAGAGAAAATAGAACAAGGATTTCTTTTAACTATTTGGCATGAAGCTGTCCAATGGGTACCACTGGCTTCAGGGCTGTTGTCAATTCATAACCAGGTACAATTCTCATTCATTTGTTTCCCTCAAAATCTTTACACAGTATTGTATACATAGAAATAAAATTAATTTATATATTGCAATCGTATCTCTCTAAATTTGACAAAATGTAGTCAGGACTGCGCATCAAGATCTCTAGACGGTAAATTACAGTATTGTTCTGAAAACACTATTTATTCGACACTGCACAGTGCTGAAAATACAGTTTATTCAGCACTGCACTCTGCTGAAATAACTAGTACTCAGATACTGCCAGCATTTCTCTCCCTTCCAGGCCACATCTGTACTACATCTGGACTACATATCAACTTCATCTGGACCACATCTGGACCTCATCTGGACCACATCTGGACCACATCTAGACCACATCTAGACCACGTCTGGACCACATCTGGACCAAATTTGAACCACATTTGGACTTCATCTGGACCACATCTGGACTTCATCTGGACAAGGTAACGTCCCTAGGAGCGTCCAGATCCCTAGCGCCCCCCGCGACGCGTTGCTCAGTGCTGATGTACTGCCGGAAGAGGCGGCTGATCTCGTGCGCCTGGATGGTCTGGATGCGGCAGATGCGGTGGTGCAGCAGGTTGCCGAACTTCATGTCCAGGTACAAGAAACCGTCCTCGCTCTTAACTTTCCTGGTGCTGAACACTTGCGACAAACTGTAGTGTTCAAGCGTCTCCTGAAAAAGTCAAATCTTACTAATTATTCCTAATAAAGGCGACAAACTGTAGTGTTCAAGCGTCTCCAAAATAAGAAACACATGCAACAGCGAAACGCTTCTGATTTTTCGAATGTAATGATACTTTTTTACAAATAAGAGCATTCGTGCCACTGACGCTTATAAGTACATGATTTTAATGACATTTTTTATCAACGGAAGCACTCCTTTATCATCGAAATGCTTCAAAGTACTTGGTTGAAATGAAATTATTTTTACCAAATAGAGCAGATTCTCTCAAAATTATTTTACAAATTTCGCTCTTGCAAAAAATGAACCACATTTGCACTTGAGTGAGTCATCTTGACCCAGTTTAGCCCAGCAAGAGGCGTACCAGAGCTACAGCAGGGAGGCTGTCAACATTTGGTAGGACAGAACGATCCATACATTTCTCTGTGTGTTTATTTTAAGCTGACGCAGTGCATAACTTTTTAGAATATTAAAAACATTATTAGTGCATAATTTATATTGTTATGTTATTAGTATATAATTTATATTATTATATTATTAGTGCGTAATTTATATCGTTATGTTATTAGTACGGGCCTCCAAATCAACAACCCGGGCCTCCAAATCAACAACTCGGTCCTCCCAATCAACAAGTCGGGCCTCTAAATCAACAACTCGGGCCTCCAAATCAACAACCCGGGCCTCTAAATCAACAACCCGGACCTCCAAATCAACAACCCGGCCTCCAAATCAACAAATCAACAACCCGGGCCTCTCACCCAACAACTCACCCAGAACCTGTGCCTTGGCCTGAGAGGTGGAGAGTTTAGCAGCGTCGGGCCAGGACCCCTGCACCAGGTTGACCCACTGCTGGGGCCGGACCGCGGTCATGAGGAGGGACTTGCGTGGTAGCAGGTACTTCACCTCCCGCATGGTAGGCTCGTGGTCCAGGTCTGCTGCACGGTGCATCAGCGCCGCTACCTTCGCGATGTCCAGCTACACCAGGTATATATGCAATTGTTTGATTACCGGTATATTATATAATTATATACATGTAATTATTTGTAATTATATTTTATAATTATATATATGTAATTATTTGTAATTATATTATTCAGAATTGCATACAAAATTTCCTAAGAGGATATTATATGAATATGATAATACAACAGGTGTTTTAACTGATGTGAAGAAACGATATATATGTAATTAATTGTAATTATATTATATAATTTTAAGAAATGTAGTTATATTATTTACAATTGCATACAAAATTTTTCTAGTGGATATTATATAAGTTTGATAATAAAAGAGGTTGTTTAGCTGAGGGAAAGATGGGGGAGGTGTTTAATAGATATTTCACACCATAAAGTGTGTTTTTCTGAAACTAAATTTCGTTAATTATAGAGCAACTTTTAAAACTAACTATCAGCATGGAACTCTTCACCTAATTTTAATTGGTAAGAGACAAATTTTTAACAATATTTGAATGCCCAAAATTATAAAGAGCTTCCAAATTCTTTCAGATAGCCCTCTCCCCTCGCCGTTTTCAAAAGCCAGTAACGTGACGTAAAACGCAAAGTAAGCCACTAAAGCAAAGTAACATTTCAGGTCCGCTAGTAGAATATTGATCTGCAAGCCAAAATGCTCTACGCAAGGCCTTAACACGATGCATTGGCCATTGGAATAGCGTTGATTTAATGTTGTTTCAACGAAATCAACTCGTTATTAGCGCTGTTCCAACGAAATTACCGTTGTTTCACGAAATCAACCTTGTTTTAACAAATTAAACATTGTTTTACGAATTCAAAGCGATTTCAACAATTTAAACGTTGTATCAACCAATTCAACGTTGTTTCAACAAATTAAACGTTGCATAAACGAATTCAACGTTGTTTCAACAAATTAAATGCTGTATCAACGAATTCAACGTTGTTTCAACAAATTAAATGTATCAATGAATTCAACGCTGTATCAACAAATTAAACGTTCTATCAACAAATTAAACGTTGCATCAACGAATTCAACGTTGTTTCAACAAATTAAATGTTGTATTAACGAATTCAACGTTGTTTTACCAAATTCAACGTACATTTCAAGGCACTCATAATTTGTAGGTGAGACAAGACCTAAGCACAAGACTCTCACAATGAGGTGCTGGGTTCAAGGTACTCATAATTTGTAGGTGAGACAAGACCTAAGCACAAGACCCTCACAATNACCATCACTCGTACGGTGCTGGAAGAATGCACCAGCGTCGTCATGCGATGCCCCGACGCCAACCGACTCATGATAGCTGAGGCCCTCATCATTAAGGATAGGACCCCAGCCATCAACCTTCAAACTACTGGATTTGTCAGAACCTTGAGACTGTTTTCGGAGTAATTTTCGGTGCTTTGATTCTAAATTATTTTGTGATTGTGTAATTATTCCTAACAATTTTGATTTTCGAGTAGTATCCTATTTACTTGATTTTGTACTTATGTCGACGCTAATTTTCAACTTGATAATGAATGATAGAAACATTCGAAACGTCGTTAACGAAATAAAAATGTCCATCGGTAACCTGATTTTCGATTTGCCAGTTCAAACTAAAAATATTGTTCGATATATTGAAAAAACTAATAAGAAAATTGCGAATAAAACAAATTCTCTGGTCTTCAATGAAACCTGCTTGAAAGAAGAAATTCTATAATTAATAAACAAATTCTTATTTATACACAAATCGGCAGAAGATCAGGAAGAACACATGAAAAGAGGGAGGATTATAATTAAAAAATGTAAAATCAGCCGCAAAAGATGAAAATCTGAGGAAAAATCAGAAGCAAGGGAGTTAGAGTACGTTACAACTTTGAATTGTAATGTAAAATATTATATAAACAGGCAAATACAACTCCAAATTACGAAAAAAATATTATATACTGTAGCACGGTAGAAGATATAAGGAAGGAAAACCTGAAACGGATATTACATTTATCATTTCGAATTATGAAACTTACAATACAATCAAATATCAACACTATCATATAGTTTTATTAATATTATTATTAATTATTATCATAATTATAATTATTATTAATACCATTAATACTATATCTCCAGTGATAACAGTCACCTTCAGTAGTGAAGCTATCACCCAGACAAAGAACGAACACACAAGGATCGGTAGAAATGATAATTTCAATGCATGAATACGTGTAAAAATTTGCATTAAACCTACCAATTATACGTATAATAATTTTCACATGGTCATAAGGCGCTATATATTTAAATATAAATTATATAATCATGTCAATAACATAATTCACCTAATTGTTATTATGCGTATAAGTATATTCACAGGTTGGTAATACAATAAATATTTCAATATATATAATATAATCATGTCAATAACATAAATCACCTGATTGTTTTTACGAAGTTCAGTAGTAACGTCGAGGATATACTCGTCCCTGGCCAGCGGCATGGTGAAGGCCTGGCCCTCCACCAGGCAGTACATGCCGAACTCCTCCTGCTCCTCTGGCTGCACGACTCCTATCTCCGCACACAGCTCCTCTAGGATATCCTGCGCGTGGAAAGATAGTAGTACTAATTAACTACCAGGATATCCTGCGTGTGGAAGGATAGTGGTACTAATGAAGTAACAGGATATCCTGCGGGTGGAGGGATAGTGGTACTAGTGAACTACCAGGATATCCTGCGGGTGGAAGGGGATAGTGGTACTAATGAAGTAACAGGATATCCTGCGGGTGGAAGGATAGTGGTACTAATGAAGTAACAGGATATCCTGCGGGTGGAGGGATAGTGGTACTAATGAACTACCAGGATATCCTGCGTGTGGAAGGATAGTGGTACTAATGAAGTAACAGGATATCCTGCGGGTGGAGGGATAGTGTTACTAGTGAACTACCAGGATATCCTGCGGGTGGAGGGATAGTAGTACTAATGAATTACCAGGATATCCTGCGTGTGGAAGGATAGTGGTACTAATGAATTACCAGGATATCCTGCGGGTGGAGGGATAGTGGTACTAGTGAACTACCAAGATATCCCGCGGGTGAAGGGATAGTGGTACTAGTGAACTATCAGGATATCCTGCGGGTGGAAGGTTAGTGGTACTAATGAACTACCAGGATATCCTGCGGGTGGAAGGATAGTGGTACTTATGAACTATCAGGATATCCTGCGGGTGGAAAGGATAGTAGTACTAATGAACTACCAGGATATCCTGCGTGTGGAAGGATAGTAGTACTTATGAACTACCAGGATATCCTGCGGGTGGAAGGATAGTGGTACTAATGAACTACCAGGATATCCTGCGGGTGGAAGGATATTAGCAATAAAAAACTACCAGGAAGGATAGTAGCACTAATGAACTACCAGGAAGGATAGTAGCACTAATGAACCTTCAATCTTTGGCACAAATTGTCATGAAAAGACGATTTGTTGACAAGCAAACGGCGATGTAGGTAATGATTAGCGCAGATTAGCGATTTTTTATAGATTAGCGCAGAACTCTGAAAATTTTAGCAGAACTATTTTAGTAGAAGAGAAGATTTCTATTTGATTTATCTTGGTGGAAATAGGCAGGTGTTAAGGAATTGATCAATGATACGTTGAGCACGAACTTGGCCGCCACTTATTGCCTCTCAGTACTCGTACCACAGAAGTACTGCGCGTATTAATAACCCACTCAGTGCCTGCACCACTGAAGTACTCCGCGTATTAATAACCCACTCAGTACCTGCACCACTGAAGTACTCCGCGTATTAATGACCCACTCAGTACCTGCACCACTGAAGTACTCCGCGTATTAATGACCCACTCAGTACCTGCACCACTGAAGTACTCCGCGTATTAATAACACGCTCGGTGTCGCCAGGCAGGCGGTATATATAGTCCGCGTATTAATGACCTACCTGCACCACTGAAGTACTCCGCGTATTAATCACCCACTCAGTACCTGCACCACTGAAGTACTCCGCGTATTAATAACACGCTCGGTGTCGCCAGGCAGGCGGTATATTTCCCTCTTAGAGTTTCGTCCGGCCGTGAGCGCGGTGATCTCGTCGATGCTCGGCACGTTCTTGCGCCCGCCGTACTTGAAGGTCTTGCGTAGATTCTGCAGACACACCGTCGCCGTGCCTGGGTTGTGGGGAAGTTATTTCATATATGTTAATTATTAATTATTATATAAAATATATGTAAATTCTGCAGACACACCGTCGCCGTGCCTGCGTTGTGGGGAAGTTATTTTATATATGTTAATTATTAATTATTATATAAAAATATATGTAAATTCTGCAGACATACCGTCGTCGTGCCTGTGTTGTGGGGAAGTTATTTTATATGTGTTCACGTGATAAATATGTTAAAAAATTAATATGTTACCGTAATAAATATGTTTATAAAATAAAAATGGTCATATAATAAATATGTTAGCGTAATAAGTATGTTCAGAAAATAAATATGTTAGCGTAATAAATATGTTCATATAATAAATGTCTTCAGAAAATAAATATGGTCACGTAATAAATATGTTCGCGTAATAAATATTACCTCGTAATAAATGTTCAGATATTAAATATAGCTTGGAATTGCTTGAGAGTAGTATAACTAAGAGGTAAGGTTGTTGTGACATGGTTCTTATATATGATTTAAAATAAATATTTTCAAGTGACAAGCTGGTTCTCACTATAGGTTCACGGAGAACCAGGCATTAGACACCATTACTACATGCATCATTATGAGACATATGAAACATGATACGAATGATAATAAATATCATTATAGGACAGCACGGATGATTAAATTGACGACGGTACACTAATAGAAACTATAGGGTCATTATGTCCAAATAATGACACACATTTTGCATGTAGCATTGATGCTCACTTTTCTCTGGCTATACTGTGTCAGGATAACTCACATATGGCGACGAGTGCATCGATTTTTGGACAAAGACTTAATGATTTCTCTGAGTGTACGTACCATTATCAACGATGATGGTACCTAACCTTCCATTATTAATGATGATGGTATCTAACATTGTCAACGACGATGGGACCTACCATTATCAATGATGATGGTACCTACCATTACCAATGATGATGGTACCTACCATTACCAACGATGATGGTACCTACCATTACCAACGATGATGGGACCTACCATTACCAATGATGATGGTACCTACCATTACCAACGATGATGGGACCTACCATTATCAATGATGATGGTACCTATCATTACCAACGATGATGGGACCTACTATTACCAATGATGATGGGACCTACCATTACCAATGATGATGGGACCTACCATTACCAATGATGACGGTACCTACCATTATTAATGATGATGATACCTATCATTACCAACGATGATGGGACCTACCATTATCAATGATGATGGCACCTACCATTACTCATGATGATGGTTCCTACCATTATTAATGCTAATGGTACTCACCATGGAAGGCACGGCGCTTGTCGTAGGCGTTGGTCTCGAGGTACTTGAAGAGGTACGGCTTTAGTACATCTTAATGGTACTGGCACTTAATAGTACTTACCATGGATGGCCCGGCGCTTGTCGTAGGCGTTGGTCTCGAGGTACTTGAAGAGGTACGGCTTTAGTACGTCGGAGCACACGAAGTACGCGGCGATGATGGAGAAGAGCCGCCATCCGCGCTGACACGAGTCAGGGATGGAGGACTTGTTNCATTACCAACGATGATGGGACCTACTATTACCAATGATGATGGGACCTACCATTACCAATGATGATGGGACCTACCATTACCAATGATGACGGTACCTACCATTATTAATGATGATGATACCTATCATTACCAACGATGATGGGACCTACCATTATCAATGATGATGGCACCTACCATTACTCATGATGATGGTTCCTACCATTATTAATGCTAATGGTACTCACCATGGAAGGCACGGCGCTTGTCGTAGGCGTTGGTCTCGAGGTACTTGAAGAGGTACGGCTTTAGTACATCTTAATGGTACTGGCACTTAATAGTACTTACCATGGAAGGCCCGGCGCTTGTCGTAGGCGTTGGTCTCGAGGTACTTGAAGAGGTACGGCTTTAGTACGTCGGAGCACACGAAGTACGCGGCGATGATGGAGAAGAGCCGCCATCCGCGCTGACACGAGTCAGGGATGGAGGACTTGTTGGATGTAGTTTGCTTCATCACCTGGCAGTAGAGCTCGTCCCTGAGGGCCTCGTACATATGGCAGTGCTGGGGGAGAGGGGGTAATGAGGGTAGAGTACATATGGCAGTGCTGGGGGAGAGAGGGTAATAAGGGTATCGTACATATGGCAGTGCTGGGGGAGAGAGGGTAATGAGGGTAGAGTACATATGGCAGTAGAGCTCGTCCCTGAGCGCCTCGTACATATGGCAGTGCTGGGGGAGAGAGGGTAATAAGGGCATCGTACATATGGCAGGGCTGAGGGAGAGAGGGTAATAAGGGTATCGTACATATGGCAGGGCTGGGGGAGAAGGCAATAAGGGTATCGTACATATGGCGGTGCTGGGGGAGAGGGAAGATGTATTAAGAACCAGTTACCATAAGTATGATGCACATACATCACTCACCATGAGTATGGTGTAGATGCAGTGCACCTCGGACATGCCGGCATCCATGGGGTAGTCTCCCATGTATCTCATACATCACTCACCATGAGTATGGTGTAGATGCAGTGCACCTCGGACATGCCGGCATCCATGGGGTAGTCTCCCATGTATCTCATGACGCACAAGAACACCTCCACGGCCGCGTGGCTGATGTCCTCCTCCAGCGGCAGCAGCGACGCCCGCAGCGGCGACTGGCTGAACTTCACCATCTCCACCTGTTGGTGACGTGGTGGTGACGTGGTGGTGACGTGTTGGTGATGGGTTGGTGACGTGGTAGTGACGTGTTGGTGACGTGTACAATAGTGGTGAGATGTGTTGGTGACGTGTTGGTGGCGTGTTGGTGACATGTTGGTGACGTGTTGGTGACATGTAGGTGACGTGTTGGTGACATGTTGGTGACGTGTTGGTGACATGTTGGTGACGTGTTGGTGACGTGTTGGTGACGTGTTGGTGACGTGTACAATAGTGGTGAGATGTGTTGGTGACGTGTTGGTGGCGTGTTGGTGACATGTTGGTGACGTGTTGGTGACATGTTGGTGACGTGTTGGTGACATGTTGGTGACGTGTTGGTGACGTGTACAATAGTGGTGAAGTGTTAGTGGAGACGTGTTGGTGACGTGTAGAGTAGCAGTGACGCGTTGGTGACGTGGTAGTGACGCGTTGGTGACGTGTACACCATATTTTAGTAGCATGTCCAATCGCAAATGATGTGTTGGTGACGCTAGTGAAGCGTATTAGACGCGTGTGTGTGGCGTGTTGGTGACGTGTCACAGCGCGTTTATACACGCCAATCCGAACGTCGCTATATACAAAAAAATTCGCAATTCCCTATAGCATCTTATAGAATGAAATTGACATTCTCTAACAAATTTCAAATAAACTTTATATTACTTTACGTTTAAAAAATGAACATTATCTATAAAAGATTAAAAAATATATTCGATATTCTCTAAATCATTTAAAAATGAACTTGACATTATCAGAATCACGTAAAAAATGAGTTTGACAAATTCTAAAAGATGTAAAAATATATTCGACATTCTGTAAAACTTGTAATAAAAAATTTTACTATCTCTAAAACATTTAAAAATAGATCCGGGTTTCTAAAAAAACATATAAAAATTCATTCGGCTTTCTAATATGAATAAATAAATTCCATATTCTATAAAACACGTGAAAAATAACGTAAAAATATTTTTTCATCTTCTAACCTGTTCCTCTTTTTCTTTCTCTATTCATTCATTCATTTATTCTCTTAATAAATAAATTCCATATTCTATAAAACATATTAAAATAACGTAAAAATATTTCTATATCCTCTAACCTGTTCCTTCCACGTCCAGTTGGCCGCGTTATCCTTGCCTTTCTTCTTCTTCTTATCCTTGCTGGTCTGCAGCGTGCCATCAGCTGCCACCATGTCCTTGGCCACCCTGAAGTATTTCAGCGCAAACTGAAGCAGTGAATGCTTGCCATCATTAGCGAACTGTGATGAATTAATATCATCATCTTTATGGTGCATTTTGACCAGGCCATCATCAGAGGTGATGTTGGTACCACCACCGCCACCTTCACCACCCGAAGAGTGACCACTATCATCATGTTGGTGGTGGTGAAGGTTGTGGTTGTTGTGGTGGACAGTGGACGATGTGGTGGTCTGGTGGAGGCCCCAAGAGGAATTAGATTCCCCACTGCCGTCCCTGTCAGATGGACGGGTGCCGTTGACGGTCGCTAGACGGGCGCCGACTGACGGGCGAGACTCTGTCTCTTCTGTCTCGCCAGCCTGAGGTTGTTAGATAATAAATATAACGAATAAATATTAATTAAATATTATTCCAGATTTTCTACGACAATTTTTTTTTCTTGCTTGCAAGTCAATAAGTAGTAGGAATTTTCTTACGAAATCCCAGGCATATATTTGCTAGTATAATTGTAACGTTATAATGCAAACTGAATAAAATTAATAGATTATTGTTAATCAAGCTTCACGTGAATTAGTGAAAATTGACATGATCGATTATTTACACTGCAAAAAAATCCAGCGTAGCTGGGCAGGCCAATTTTTTTCCTTTTTCTATCTCTGAAGGCTTAAATTTGGACGTATTTGTTTTATTATTATTAATAATAATATCATTATCCTTATATATTATCCATCATTATTAATAATATTAATCAATATATCAATATTATTAATAATAATAATAATATTACCTATTAAATTTATTTTAAAAGTAATTAAATTTTAGTAATTAATAAAATAATAATCAATATTAATTATTCCCCCTGCTACGCCCCACCTTGTTCCCCAGCCGCGCCTCGGCCCTGCCGATGGGGACGACGTACTCCATGGGGAAGAGGCCCGTGCGCCCGTTAACGGACCCCTCCAGCCACCCTGGGGAATACAGGGGTAATTATCACCCTGGGTAATGAAGGGGTAGTTATTACCTTGGGTTAGTTATTACTAATCCCGGTAGGGGGTAATTATTAGCCTGGGGAAGCCAGGGGTAATTATTACCCTGGGTAATGAAGGGGTAGTTATTACCTGGGGTTAGTTATTACTAACCACGGTAGGGGGTAATTATTACATGGGGAAGGCAGGGGTAATTATTACCTGAGGAAGGCAGGGGTAATTATTACCTGGGGAATGCAGGGGTAATTATTATCCTGGGTAATGAAGGGGTAGTTATTACCCGGGGTTAGTTATTACTAACCCCGGTTGGGGTAATTATTAGCCTGGGGAAGGCAAGGACATTTATCACTCCGGAGAAGAAAGAGGTTATTTATAATCATGCGGAAGGCAGGGGTAATTATTACCCTGGGAAATGCAGCGACAATTACTAGAACAAAGATGTAATTATTATCCTTGACGAAACTTTAATTATTTAAATAATTATCACGTGTAAGTAACGTGATGGTCACTGCACGTGATGTGGCTAGTATACTCAGGAAACTGTGTGGGCGAGCGTGACAATTTGGACGCAATCTTTGACCGTAACAACTGCGGTGGATGCGCGGTTGATTCGCGCTATTCAACGCCACGTTAAATCAACAAGAATCCTAGCGGTCCAACAGGCATTGTTCTGTCTACGGATCACTGATGATTTAAGGATCGCTCCACGCTTGCTATCCTAGATCTCAATAAGGATTCCGATAGCGAGATTCCTTATATCCCAGCAAGCAACGTTATTAAATCGTTATATTATTATGATTATTAAAATTTATTATATAATCGTTTTATTATAAATGAAAGTAGATATGTAAACACTAATTATTAACCGAAGTTATTTATTGCATCGATGTGCTGTGATGATTGAACTACAAATATAATCACAACTGGAGCTTTTGAAAATAAATGTGAATTGAATAATTCATGTAGTCACGGGTAGTCTGAATTGAAGGAATTATGATGAGAATAATTTGATAGGGGAAACAGCTTAGGTTCCTGAGGATTAAAAATGGCCGCTAATTTAGAAATGCCATCGGCGCGCATTGGATATGCAGGAGAGTAAGGAAATGGTTTCATATTTTCTCAATGGGTTTCTAAATTGGAAGAGGAGGGAGGAGGGTTTCTGGAGGGAGACGGGAGGATTAGTTTAGTACAGTATAGGATAGTAGAGTACACTATAGGAGAGTATAGTAGTAATGTCATTGGAGAATAGGCCAAATTGGCCGGAGATCTGAAGACTGGCCTTTAGACCAGAACTAACAAAAACTGATGTTGAGGCTAAGCATAAATATAGCTGCTGAACATCTTATAATTTTTAAGATGGGAGGCACTTCTTGTATGAATATATTTTTTTGCATAGCGTTATCCAATCTGTTGCATATGTCGGTGACTCGAAGCACGAAGAATTGTTGTCGCCCGGACTTATATATAAGAAGAGGAACCAGCGGAGCATGCATGGAGCAGACTAGGACTCTGTTATTTTAAATAGTAATTTAAACTGAGGGATAGAAGGAGGCCATAATATAACTGAAGGATGCGTGCGGGATGGAAGGATGCCGTGGAGGAGAAGGATGTAATGATGAGATGTGGAGGAATAGCGCAGGGATGGACAAGCCGCTAAACACACACACGGTCACTCATGCGTTCACGTAGCGGCCGCTTACGCACGCAATTAATTCAAAGTGATATAAAGACGAGCCTTAGTTCTTCTGACTCACCTTTGTACATGTAACATGACTCTTGACTCACCTTTGTAACACGACCCTTGACCCACCTTTGCAACACGACCCTTGACCCACCTTTGCAACACGACCCTCGACCCACCTTTGTAACACGGCCCTTGACACGCCTTTGCAACACGACCCTTGACCCACCTTTGCAACACGACCCTTGACCCACCTTTGTAACACGACCCTCGACCCACCTTTGTAACACGGCCCTTGACTCACCTTTGTAACACGACCCTTGACCCACCTTTGCAACACGACCCTTGATCCACCTTTGTAACACGACCCTCGACCCACCTTTGTAACACGGCCCGTGACACGCCTTTGCAACACGACCCTTGACCCACCTTTGTAACACGACCCTTGATCCACCTTTGTAACGTGACCCTTGACCCACCTTTGTAACGCGACCCTTGACCCACCTTTGTAACGCGACCCCTTGACCCACTTTTGTAACGCGACCCTTGACCCACCTTTGCAACACGACCCTTGACCCACCTTTGTCCTGGTAGTGCTCAGGGTCTGTAACTCTGATGATGTCGCCTTTGCTGAAGCTCAGTAGTCTGCTCTCTCTCGTCTCGTAGTCTGCCAGAGCTCGCACATACGACCGGGAGCCCTGTATTTATTTATCATGTTTGAATTGTCAATTATTATTTTATTCAGGATAATATCCTAAAGATGGTAAGATGATTTTTTGGAAGGAGACATAGGCATTGCCTAAAAAATTTATTAGAATATGCCGCATCTGTTTTAAACTTCGCTTAAAATTCTCGAATGTCGGTGAAGGGTGAAAATTATATTCAATTATTCGTCTACTTCATACGTGAATGCGAAATTTTATTCCCAAATCTGTGATCGGTAAGTAGCAGTGATTAGTAAAAATATGACCAAAAATGCGACAAAAAATAAAAATTTTCATGAGAAATACTATAAATTTTACCCGGTACAAGTCGTTATGAAGCAACAAATTTCACAGCGATATTTTGAAATGTATAGCTTTTATTTAAATCATCTAGTTGCCCAAATATGATGTATAAGGTAATTCATTCATCGGGTACTGAACATACATTGACGGGATATCGTAACATAATTACTTTATTCGTTGCAATATTAAAAAAAATGATTGGCGCAACTCGAGTGAAAAAAAATTGAGAATGACGATGTTTGCAGAGATGAAACGATAATAAATCAAGCAAAAAATTTACATAAAAACTTGAAAGGCTGCACGACTTATGCATGCAAGCGGCTCGCGCAACTCAGGCCTCGCAGCAGAGCATGTCAAGCTTGCACGCAATTTCTTCGAGCTTTGCAAGAATTTCAATAATAAATAATTAATAAAAAAAAGAATAAAGAAATAATTTAAAAAGATTAAATTTAATAATAAATAAATAATAAAATTAAAAGAATTTAAATAATAAAGAATACGTCACGTATGTAATTCCTCCCTTCACACCAGTTCAGTGTTCCAAGAATTTTAAATAATAATAATTACTATTCTCTTCCAAGATAAGAGGCCATTTCGTGCCTATTTGGCCTAACCTACGTGCATGGAATTCGGACCCTGCAGAAAGTTCATGTAATGGTAGATTCTTGCTAAACATTGTACGCACTACAGGGCACCTCTAATCATTCATCTTAACTGATTTAATCATTTAAACTCTACCGTACCCCCAATTTGGTCTAAGCATGCAGCTGGTTACACCTTACAGGCTTACTCTGATATTATGCATTAACTCTAAATTTTCTTACCTGAATTACGTGCTAATTCAGACGATGAACGACTGGGCTAAGGTTTATTCAAATATAACTTAAAGCACATGCAATTAGGCGTAAAAAATTATCTTAAAAATATTTTAAAAATGGCATTTAACACTACAAAAAAATCATCTTAAAATATCGCCAATGTTAGACGGATAGCGTGTTCGTCCCAGTGTTCACAATGCAGCAAAAAAAAAAAAAACAATCTGACATGGAAGAACATTCCTCTGCAGCAAGTCCAGAACACATGGCCTTCGAGGTAAAAAATAATTTACCTGGAGGAGCTGTTGGGCGAACTGCAAAGGTTTATAGTTATTCCTGACGGCGTTGTAGAGGAGAAGCGTCCAGCCGAGTTTTTTGGTAACCGCAAGAGATTCATGCCAGTTGCCTAGCGTCGGGGACCCAACAGCGACATCGTCCATTGAGTCACTCAGGGCTTCCGAGGCAAAGTCAGAGGTTTGTTCTAGATGCAATTGTGTCAAGTTTGATAGACTCTTCGATGATTGCATGCTTTTGCTTTGTTTGAAGAGATGTTTAGTGTTTCTTCGGATGGTCGTGAATCCGTTTTCTAGATCCGTAGATCCAGAGCGTACGCTGGAGCTGATGCTGCCTGTGTTTGTATTAGCAGCATACAAATGCCCTGGACTTGTGCTTTTACCGATTTGTGAGATGTTAAATACAGAAGAAGATTTGGATTTAAGAAGTGACGATGGACGTTTATTGTAAACTGATTCGTTAGCCAAGTGAGTGTCTTCGTAGGCCATGTAAGCAGGCTGCGTCGAAGCTCGAGACGTTGGTCTGGAAGTTTTGCCCAAAGATGGTTTTGGAGGCGGTCTGGAGAGATCCTGGGTACTGGTTGCAAAGGCTCTCCTGTAGTTGTCGTCGGAATGGAAGAAACGTCGAGTGTGCGAACAAGAAGATGAAGAGCTACATGAATTTTTCAAATCGCGACCAAATGGACCATGAGATATTTTAAGCGCTGACTTGAGGGGTCGTTCCTCGAACCCAGAAGGTGGTATGTACTTGAAAGATCCACTTTCTTCATACAAAATTTCAGCTGAGTTTGAAATTGACACTTTCGGCACTCGGGATGCAGCGTAGCTGTACTTAGAGTCCGAGTCGCTCTTTGAAAAGATGGATGAATCTTCTGAGTCTCTGAAAGATTTGCAAGAGTTTATGTCTTCTGTTAAACGGCTACTGTTACTCCTCGGTTTTCTGGTGCTCTTGGCTCTTGAAGTCTTAAGAACCTTTTTCTTGTACTGCGGTATGCGATTCACGGGGAACTCTTGATCAGAGCTGGTGCTGGACTCTGCAGGGGTAACGATGTTGTTGTCTTTACCACAAACGTGCGGGAACATGCTAATTTTGTCTCGCAAGGAGAGCTCACTGGCCGAACACAGTTCATCGTCATCAGCCAAACATCCTCGGGTTACATGCGGTCTATCAAACACGTCACTTAATGTTTGCGCTAATCCACTGGTACGAGGACGTAGACCGGAGCAGTTCAGGACATGAGTGTGGAGTCCTTTAGGCTGCATTGTGGCTCGCGAGGACTCGGGCCTTCGAACCCTGTCATAATCACCACACCCTGGCTTCTCTGAATTACAAACAAGTGAAGTTCGGTTCCCAGAATGCCTATTGAGACGGTTGCTGGAGTTATTCTTGCAGGAAGAAAAGCAGCTATGACCGTTGCTGCCGTAAATGCCCGGGAAGGTTCGTGCTTCACGGTCACGGTAATCAGAGAGATGGCAACGTTCGTCGCGGTTGGAGCCGCGTTTGTTGACCGTCACGCCGTAATGAGTGGACTTCCTCCGCGGTGTCCTGGAGTCCACGTAAAATGGAATCTTGGATTTGGTGAAATAAGGAGGCTGGTCATCGTGGTCGTCACCAGAATCACAATCAAAAACTTCGCCATTGTTGCAGCCGCTCGACATGACACAGCTGAACTTTTGGCTCATGCGCCCAGGGTGCGCCTCCAGGGAGTCTAGAGGTAATCCCACTTTTGCCATCATTTCATTCACTTACTTACTATTCACAGTTCAAAGTTTAATGAACTTTCATTTTAAGCTCAAAGTACGCAAAAATTAATTTATATTCCAAAGCTTTAAAGATAATTATAATTTAAAATGTTCAAATATATTTCTCGTTTACTAAGCCACTTCACAGGCTTGAACTGCCTAGCCGTTCATTATAAAAAAATACCCAGTCATAAATCCGTGCTTAAAATCCATGTTTCTGAAAATTGTATACAAAGTAAAGTAATATAGATTGACGGAACATGTCCAAAAATGCAAATCGTCAAACAGAAAGATTAATGGGTCATGATGTGCCAACAGTGACACGCGCTATGCACGTATAGCACTGATATGTCCCTTTCCAGAGGTAAAGTGGGTTAGGATGACCCACAAAAGGGCCAAAAATTGTTCGATATTTGGCCACGTGTCACTTGATTCTCTGAGTGCAGCATCACTAACATGACGCACACGAGTTGCGAATAACGAATAATTCCAATCGCAAAAACGCGAAACTCGGCAAATTTTAAGGCAAGTTTGCAATAACAAATACCAAATTAAGAAAATATGACGTGGCAGGTCTCTAAAAATTTTAAAGTGCTGAAAATTGGATTTTTTTTTCATTGAGATTAACGCAGATAAAACGAATCATAATATATTACGAAAAAGGGACAATCATACGACAGAGAAAATGAAAATGTGCAATATTAAATAAAATTAAAAATATCATATTAACAATTTTTGCAGCGAAAATATAGGTTTATATCGTATCCAGGATGAAACTAAATATCAATGTGCATTGAAATTATTAATCCAACGGAAAAGCCATCGAGCAAATTAGGCGATAAGAAGACGAAAAATAGAAAAAAAGCAGTATATAAAAAATTAATGCTAGGATATAGGAGCGAACACGCGCAGCAATGATGAGAAGGAAGAATGATGAGAAGGAAGAATGATGAGAAGGAAGAATGATGAGAAGGAAGAATGATGAGAAGGAAGAATGATGAGGCAAAATTATTAGACATAAGAAGCGTCTACACGTCGTGGCCTCAGGCCGTGCATTCCGGGCACAGGGTGCTGGCAGTGAAGCGTGAAGCCGTGACAGCGGCATGGCTGGTGCTGCTGTCTGCAGCAGCACCGAGCAAACTTTACTAGATATTAAGAGCCAACTTAAAAAATATTATAAGCAAATTTAAACAAATATTATGAGCAAACTTAAATAAATTTTCATCCTTTTCCAAAATGTTCGGTAAAGGACGCCAACAAATCAAACAAATTCCAAATTATTCATGACTACCAAGTTTTAAATTCAAAATAGTTGAATTTTATTGAATTGTAAAAAAGATCGTGTTTTTGAGCAAAACGCGTTACATGGTTGGGGGCATGCGTTGATGCTTAGCAATCTTTATATCATCTCTTATCTCTTATATCATCTTATCTCTTAAAAATCACGCACTACAATTATTTAACTGATGCAGCTAATAATTTGATTTAGTAGCGCTTCACGCATACAGAAAACCAGCAGCTTTCAGCGCTTTTGGTGACGGCAGTGAAAGTTATATCGCAGCGTTATTACCTCGATTACCTCTTCTACGCTACGTTATTACCTCGCATTACCTCTTCTACGCTACGTTATTACCTCGCATTACCTCTTCCACGCTACGTTATTACCTTGCATTACCTCTTCTACGCAGCGTTATTACCTCGCATTACCTCTCCACACTACGTTATTACCTCGCATTACCTCTTCCATACTACGTTATTACCTCGCATTACCTCTTCCACACTACTTTATTACCCCGCATTACCTATTCACGCTACGTTATTACCTCACATTACCTCTCCT